GTCCAAAAGGATGGCATATAAAATTATTAGGAAATAAATACCCCAAAGTCAATTTGTGATAATTAGTTATTATATGTTTTTAACATTTTTTAGTCTAGTAAGGACAACGATACACATTAGGAGTACCATATGATGGAAAATTTCTCCTGTCCTTTAAAGGAGCCTTTTAAACACTTTTTGTAAAATTGGTTTCAAGGAAGGCTATGAAGTCCTTGAGCTTTTTAGGGCCTATCCATTCAGTTCTTTGAGTCTTTGTATTTTATCTTTCCATACTCTTCTTTGGCTTGTAGCTTCTCATTTGGTAGATCTGATGTACATCTTTTGGGCTTTCCTTGGTATATAACTTCTCTTTTGATCTTACTGCTTTCAGTATTCTGTCTCTATCAATATTCTGTCATTTTGAATATTAAAGTATCTTGGAATTTTTCTAATTGGGTTTATTTTCACTGGAACCCTTGGGTCTCCTGGATCTTAGTGCCTGTAATCCTCAATTCTGGGAAGTTATTATCAAAGATTTCTTTAGTGGTTGATTTTTCTCATTTGCTTTCCTGTTCTTCAGGGACTCCAGTTATTCTTACACTGTTTCCCTTGAACTCCTCCCATAGTTCTTTAGTGTGCTGTTCATGTCTTTTCAGACTACTTTCTGCATTCCACTAATTCCTAGTGGTTTCCCCTTCGTTATCTTGGAGCTCCTCAATCTTCTGATCAGCTTCTGTTGTGCTCCTGTTCAGAACTTGTTAACTTTTAAAAAAATATTTCACCTTCTAATTTTTTGAGAATCGTCCATACTGTTTTCCAAAAGGGCTGAACCAGTCGGCATTCCCACCAGCAGTGAAGGAGTGTCCCTTTCTAGCCATATCCGTGCCAGCAATACCACTCCTGGAAAAACATCCCAGAAAGGCAAAAAAGTATAGTCGAAGTGACATCTGCACTTGTTTGTTCATTGCAGCACTCTTTACAATAGCCAGAATCTGGAAAAAAACCTAGTGCCCAAGAACAGATGACTGGTTAAAGAAACTTTGGTACATTTACACAACGGAGTACTATGTAACTATTAGAAAAGAAGAAGTCATGAAATTTACATACCAGTGGTACTACATGGGAAGTATCATGTTAAGCAAAATGACTCAGAAAGAAAGGGATAGACATAGAAAGATCGCATTCATCTGGGGAAGATAAAGTAACAAAATAGGAGACTAACACCCAAGAATAGCCGAGATTAGTACCAGGAATTTTACTCCATGGCTTGGAGGCCAGCCACACATGCTAGGGGAAAAGGGAGTTCTGATAGAGAAGGGAGCACCAAATAAAGGGTGTTGGGAGGATCCTCCCAGGATGGGAGAAGCATGCTGAAAGTAGACTATAGACCAAACATGATTGTCAACCATTGCCTCTTTTGCAAACCACAGCATCCAAAAAGAGAGAGAGAACAAAAGGGAATACCCTGCCACAGAGGCAGGGTGGGATGGGGGGAAGGGGGGTCTGAGGGATACTGGGATCCATGGTGGTGGGAAATGGGCACTGGTGGAGGGATGGGTATTTGATCATTGTACAATTGAAAACCAAGCACAAAAATTTGTAAGTCTACAACTGTACCTCATGATGTCTCATTAATAAAAAAATAAAATGATCAAGTACCCATCCCTCCACCAGTGCCCATCCTCCACCACCACGGGTCCCAGCATCCCTCCCACCCCCCATTCCCCCCAGCCCACCCTGCCTCTGTGGCAGGGCATTCCCCCTTGTTCTCTCTCTCTTCTTTTGGGTACTGTGTTTTGCAAGAGACGCATTGAGTGACAATCATGTTTGGTCTATAGTCTACTTTCAGCATGCTTCTCTCACCCTGGGAGGATCCTCACAACACCCTTTATTTGGTGCTCCCTTCTCTATCTGAGCTCCCTTTTCCCCTAGCACATGTGGCTGGCCTTCAAGTCATGGAGCACAATTCCTGGTACTAATCTCAGCCACACCTGGGTGTTAGTCTCCTATTTTGTTGGTTTATGTTCTCCAGATGAATGCAATCTTTCTGTGTCTATCCCACTCTTTCTGACTCATTTTGCTTAACATGATACTTTCCATGTAGTACCACTTGTATGTAAATTTCATAACTTCATCTTTTCTAACAGCTACATAGTACTCTATTCTGTAAATGTACCAAAGTTTCCTCTGAGCCAGGGCTCTAATTCGAAACACTCTAAAAGATTATTTGGGGATACCCAGGGTTCAAGCTATTACAATGCAGAACATTCTTTTTGTGGCATATGTCCGACCAATGTTGACAATTTTAATACCAAGGATTTTGTATCTACGCACACAGTGTTTAACCCAATAAAATAGCACACCTTTAGGTTGATGTGGAATTCCAACAATTCTTCTAGCTCCTTTTGTTCCTTTAGGGATTGCTTTTGCTTAGACAGTAAGTCTTCCCGTAAACTTTTAATTTCTAACTTCTGCATTGTTTCCTTGCGTAACTCTTCAATGCTGTCTCTCACTATTTTCATCCTCTTTTCCATTTCCTTTAAGTCATGAAAATGATCGAGTTACAAAGAAAAATTTCAGGTCATATAACAATGTTTACCTAAAATTTGTCTACTTAAAATAAATGTCTACCTAAAATAAAATAAATGAATAAAAAATAAAAATAAATATTTCACTACCAGATTCTACATTTCTGTTATTTCTGACTTTAATAGATTTTTCCCTTCAACTCTCACACTTTCTTCTGCTTTCCTTATCACTTGTGCTATCATTTCTTTGAACTCATTGAACACGCTCATCAAGACTCTGAGGATTTACTGGTGTTTTTTTTCTTTTATGCCCTTACTGGTATTGGTTTGTGCTCAGTGAGGTTAGTGGGTTTCTACAGATTTGCCCCCATTACTTTTCTAGTGTTCTTGTGCTGGGGGTGAGTTTTTGTAGTTAAACTCCCAGGTAAGTGTTGAAGGGGTTAGCTGGAGGTTAAAAGAAAAAACGTGAGTGGCATGTAATCTGTTGAGTAGATCTATATCTACTATAGATATATGTGAAATTAGAAATAGTGCATCCTCCAACTTATTACATTAAAAAAGTGTTAGCTATTCTTGTTCTCTTATCTTTCCCTGTACACCTAAGAATATTATCTATGTTTATATAAAGTTGTGTGCTGAAATTAGATAAATGACCAAATGTGATAGACTTTCAGTATCTATATTGCAAACCATAATGCCCCAAAGTAGAGAGCGAGTATGGGGGAAATTGTCTACCATAGATGCAGGTGGAAGGTTCGAAAGGGGGGGCGTAATACTGGAGACATAGCTTGCTGGTGGAGAATGTGCACTGGTAGAGGGATGGGTTTGATCATTGTATGACTGAAACTCAAACATGAAAGTTTTTTAAATGTACCTCATTGTAGTTCAGTTAGAAAAAACAAAACAAAATAACAACAACAAAAATCTTTGTCAGGTAAATCTAACATCATATTGATGGGAATTTTTTTCCTTTATATCTTTTGAGTTATTGGTATAAAACATGATTTAGAAACAAAGTCTGGGCTTTGTTGTATCATTTATTATTCTTTTTTTGTTCTAACACTCGAATATTATTTAAACTCCCTGTTTCTATGGCTTTTTTACTCACGATGCTCTGGCAGGGGATGAAAAGGGACCCATCTTATTTGTTTTCATTTTATTTTTACTTCTAATACAGATCAGAGTTGAGAGATTCTCCATTTGGTCTTACACTAGTAAATAAGAAGTTTTTTTTTTAATTTTTGGATATGGTTAGGAGTTCTAACTCCTTACTGATATTATGATAGGCATTATTTTATTGCTGGGTGGCCGTGAAAGTTCTACCTACTCAGAGGGACTCTGCCAATACTGTCGCCGTGAAAAAGGAGGAATGTGCATAGTGACTGCCAGGCAGAGATGGGCATCCAGGTTCTCCTCCTGTGCTGTACATTGATGCCAGGTGGGGGTCTCCTTACTAGTGTTTAGGCTTAAATGACTTAGCATGCCTAATTTATGCATCAGCAAGATAGAAATCTTGGCTTCCAGTTTAGCTTTTATTGGCCTCATGGAGAACAGAATTACATTTTTTCCCCCCACTAGTGTTTGTCTGGAACACTTCGGTGTTTGACTATTCTTTAATTTTTTTTTTGTCATTTATAGGCTTTCCTTTTACCGATAGAGAGCATTAGACTTTTGTTGGGATTATTTTTATATTTTTATCTGTTGGTACTTTTAAAAAAATTTTATTAGTGAGACACCATGAGGTACAGTTGTAGACTTACAAGTTTTTGTGCTTGGGTTTCAATTATACAATGATCAAATACCCATTCTTCCACCAGTTCCCACCACCACAGATCCCAGTATCTCTCCCACTCCCCCATCCCCCTTCCCACCCTGCCTCTGTTCTCTGTTGGTATTTCAGGTTTTGACTTGTCATAACCTGAAATATGAACATATATCCTATATATGGGGCCAAATAAGCCAGTGAATGAGATCGGTAAACTCCCCACTGTGTATTTCTCAGGTCTTGAGATTTTTTGTTAGGTTTTATTTTTCGCCTCTTTCAAATGCTCCTATTTGCTACATGATACAGTTACTGGGCCCGCTCGAGCAAATCGATGATCAACGGGAGGGCCTTTACTTTACTTACTTTACAGTTTTTAGTTATTTTAGTTGGAGAAATAGTGGAAGTATGTCTGCTGTGCCATTGTGGAAAGATAGGTTCACTGTATCACTGTCATCCTGTTGTTCATCTATTTACTCGAGCGGGTGCCAGTAGCGGTTCCATTCGTACCAGCCTTGAGATTTTAGCAGCCTCTCGTACTTGTCTTTCTCAACGGTGTCATATTGGAGGCTTGTTCAGGGTCAGGGGAAAGAGACCTGTTATTGTTACTGTTTTTGAGATATCAAATATGTCATGGGTATCTTGCTAGTCTCTGCCCTGGAGACATAGGTTTTGCCAATTAATGTTGAATATTGTTTCCAATGGCCTCCATATGCCTCTTCTGTGTGCAGGTACTTGGAACTGGAAAGCAGTGGCCATCGGAATGAAGTCAGACTGCATTACCGCTCCGGCAGTCACCACCCACACACAGAAGTGTTCCCTTACATTTTGGCTGATGACAAGTGGCACAAGCTCTCTTTAGCCATCAGTGCCTCCCATTTAATCTTATATATTGACTGTAATAAGTAAGTGAGATATTTTCAATTTGGGAAATGGGAGATTGGAAGAAGTGAAAGGTAACTTTGATCTGATCTTTTTTTTTTTTATTTCTGCAGAATATATGAAAGAGTGGCAGAAAAACCCTCCACAGAACTGCCTCAGGGCACAACATTTTGGCTGGGACAAAGAAATAATGCCCATGGATATTTTAAGGTACTTTCTGGCTAAAGTTTGAGCATAAAGTATGAATATGTTTTCAAAAAGGGAATGCCCCGCCACAGAGGTGGGGTGGGATGGGAGGGATGGGAAGGTGAGAGGGACACTGGGAGCACTGAAGGTGGAGAATGGGCTCTGGTGCAGGGATGGGTACTCAATCATTGCATAACTGAAATCCAAGCACAAAAATTGTAAGTCTACAACTGTGCCTCATGGTGTTTCATTAATAAAAATTAAACAAACAAAAAAAAATCATGAATATGTTTTCAAATAAATTTGGGAAATAAATTTGGACATTTGCTTTTTTGGTGGTTGTTGGGGAACGGTTTTTTTCCCAATGTGCCCAGACACGTTGCGCCACCGGGTCCGGTCAGACGTGGGGCGAAGGGTGACGGGTGCGCGGGAAAGCTACTTGGGATAACCTGATGGCCGCTCACTTTATTACCAGATAAATCCATATTTTGTAGGGCGTCTTGGCATAAAGAGGATGGTCCAATAACATAAAGCTTAGCATTACTGACCTATCACCTTTGTAACTCTGCTTCGCCCTGGCCCAATCCCATTTAGGACTGGTGCTGCAGTTAGGTGATAGTTCTTGGGGGGTGGATGAGACTCAAGGACAGATACCTGGTGCTTGTAAAATGACCCTTCTGGGTCACTATGCAGGGACAGGTCTTTACTGCCATACAGAGACAGACCTTATCACCTCTGGCACCTGTTGCCATGCTACACATGTGGTGTTGGTTTTCATGTGTTTATGTCAACTTTTTTACCAGGTATTTTGTCTTCTCTTTTTTCAGTGAATAAATTTGTTCTTTATACATTGCAGAAGTGGTCACACAGGTATAATCAGGACAGTTACATATCTTTATTGAAATTAGGCATTCAAAATAAGAAAAGTATAAATATTAATGTAGGAATAAATTATCCAACATAGAAAAATAATCTTTGATAATACTCTTAGAAGATTATTAATAATAGGCTTAAAAGCTTTTCAGTATCCTTTATTCATGGTATCCTTATGTTCCAGAAAATTATAAGAGAAATATGTTTTTATTAACAAATATATCAAGACAAGTAAGCAATCTTAATTTATTGAATTTTTCTGTAGAGAGACTTGGAGAGATGTTCCACAAAATTTTATGATTTTGTGGATCTAAAAGATATCCTACTTAATTTTCTGTTTCTAATAATGAGGAAATGCTCTAGAAAATTGCTAAGTATAAGCCTCTAGTGACTATGAGAGTGCTCATAATATACAAGTGACTTGGTCAATAGAAGTGATATGTTAAAAGGATGATAGGTAGCTTATGTGTTCAGTGTTTGGATTTCTAGAAGGATAGGTTCAGTAACTTTAAAATTGATCTCAATGCAAGGTTTATAGATTTTTATAAGGCTTTAAAAAACTTAAACATTGCCAGTTACCTGGAAATGAGGTTTCTTGAGTGCTTATAAAACCATACTGTTGCTCACCGTGTAGTAGCTCTGTTCCCTCATTTCCCTGTATTATTAAATATATATAAACCTGCTAAGGGAGGTTAAGTGAATGAATGGCTTGTCCAAAGTCATTCAAGGGAAACTGTTTCCACACTTTCAAATTATGAAAAAAAGAAATGTTTTATTTCCCTTGATGACAAGTTTGTACTGTAAGTGCCAAATTGCCCATCTATAATTAGAAGATTTTTAAATGTAAATTACACGTGACTTTAGAATTCTTTCACACATTATATAAAATAATCTAGAGGAAAGCTTTTCTTATAGTCTGTGAATGATGCTCATGAGAGTTATGCATTATGCATTTCATAAACTAAAGGATTTGTTTTCACAGTTTCCCCAAAGTGGCAGGGGTTTCTTACTAGTAGTATCCATAATCGAAACATAAGAGCACGACACTTTGACACATTATATTTATTGATGCTCTGCTTTCATCAAGTTAAACAAATTAAACATGTAGAATATATGTTCACTAACATACTGATTTACTGTTTAAATCTTTGTGATTAAATCGTTTTAACTGTTTTGATCATGTACTGATAGTAATAAGTTATCCCAGTCATCAGACATTTTGTTTGCATTTTTCAAATATGAAATATTAAGTTATATATACATGTAAAGTTTATGAAATAAAAGACAGAATAGTGAAAGAAAGAAGTATCTGATATGTTCAGTTTTTGACTTCCACATGGCTTTTGCTTTAATATCCTCATAAGCAGGTATCTATGCCTACTGATTAATGAGTAACGTAAAATTTGCCTATAAACAAGTGATGTGATCTTTTGTAGAAAATGGGTCATTTCTTTACAGATTAAAAAAATATGCTAAACTTTCTGTATTCTTAAAGACTTATGACTTAATCTTCTTGCACTGCTTAATATTTATTGTCTTCAGACCGCCAATTGAAAAATGAGAAATGTTTAAATGAGATTTCTATTATGACTGTTTTCCTAGCTTTTCGATTATTGCAGTTAATTTTTAATTGGTATTAGTTTTAATGTAGCTAAAACCAAAAGTCATTTTTCTGGTTGATTTTTAAAAGTCATTTTCAAGTCTTTCTTTAGTGACTAAAAATAACTTCTCAGAACAACATGACTGTTGCCTCTTAATTATATCTTGACATGTAATCTTAAGGTTTTAAAATACTATAGGTATGAGTGAGAATACATTGATAGTCTATTTTTCTGCTGTATTTCTCTTTTTGAATTGAAGTAGAAGAAAAATATCCAAAAAAGGCTTTATTCAGTAAATCTGGGTAGACTGTCCTATAATACTTTCTTTCATTAACTTGACTCTTAAGCATAATTTGGGTAGATGAAAGTAATATCTCTTTTAAATAATTTTGACACACAGGGCATAATGCAGGATGTACAATTACTTGTGATGCCCCAAGGATTTATTGTCCAGTGTCCAGATCTTAATCGCAGTAAGTCTTTTGGTTCTTGTCCTATTTAATGAAATATATATTTCTTAATTTTGTCCTGAGTGGCTTTCATGGACTTGACCAAATTGAGCCCTTTGTGATTTCATCTTGACTGTAATTTTTGTAATTCCAGCCTGTCCAACTTGCAATGACTTCCATGGACTTGTGCAGAAAATCATGGAACTGCAGGACATTTTAGCCAAAACATCTGCCAAGGTAAAATGTACTTAGAAATACAATGTGGAGGGGTTCAAAAACTCCCTTGGTTTTCTATAGTTCCTCTTATGAACATAAATGTCTTCTTTTGAGAGTTTTCTTATACTACTTGCTAGAAATAAATCTGAAACCTTGCTCAGAGATTAGGTAGATTATCTGATATTTACATTGTTTGTTTACAGAAAGATTTATTAACTTTGTTTTTATTATTAATATTTTATTTAGGGTTTTATTTTTATTACTGCAAGGAAGACAGTGTAAAGACTAGGAAGATTAAAACTATGTCCAGGAAATGGTTCCACAAATGCCTCTCACCACTGTGTTTTAGTGTGATGATATTTTTCAGACTGCAACATATCCAAGTTTTACTTAAAGTTTCACTAGACTATTATAATCTTGAATAGTATTAACTGATAATCTGAAAGTTATGTTTTATATTGATTATTTTATAACTCAAAGTAAATCCTAAAATTTGTTTTCACTAAAGTAAATATTTTTAAAAAGGAGTTTAGAAGATGGAAATAGTTCTTTGCAGAGTAGGGGAAGCTATTTTGAGATATTTTTCATTTATATTGTATAAATTATGCTTTTGAGAAAACACTAGTCATATTTGGCACAAGGAAGTGGAGACCCCCCTTAAAAATTAAGGGATTAAATATTTTTAAAATAAATTATTGGTGGACATAGTCGTCATTGATGCTATATATGTAAATATTATTGGATGTCTCCTGGTGTATGTTGAATTTGCTTTTAACATGAACAATATATACCCTTTCTTTGTGGTACAGCTGTCTCGAGCTGAGCAACGAATGAATAGATTGGATCAGTGCTATTGTGAAAGAACTTGCACCATGAAGGGAGTCACCTACCGAGAATTTGAGTCCTGGACAGATGGCTGTAAGAACTGCACATGCCTGGTACGGAGTTGAGACTATGGGATCAATGCCCCATTATTTAAAAGCTGATTAAAACATTGTAATCATGAAAATTCCAAAATCCATTTTTTTAAGACACAACACTAAAGTGCCAGCAAACCCAGACAGATCTAAATAACTATGTGTTGCATTATTCAAGACATTTTCTAGCATATAAAGATGATTATGGCTTAGGAATGCTACGAGGTTTCATTTCAGTGGTACACACACGAGGTAGGAAATTTACTAGGTGATTACCATAGGAGTCTGTTCTTTTATTACTAGCATCTCCAAGATTTTCATTTTCTTATTAATTAATTTCAATGAAATTAAGATACATATACAGCAAAAAGTACTGTGAGCATGTTGTACCATATTAACACATTATGAAGCTTAAATGAATAAGATAGTCTTTAAAATCTACTAAGACAAAGGGATACAAATTGCGGGGTACATAATTTGTATTTTATAAATATGTGTTATTATAGAGGATATGTGTAATTGTTCACTAATTAAGTAGAATTTATCAGTGCATTATTGTTTCAAAAATACTTGCATTTCCAAAGAAAAGTTTCTCAAAACTAATTCAGTTTTGAATTTTTAAATTATGCAACAATTCCATTTTAGTATTGGTTGGGTGGCAGAGTCAGAAGTCTGTATGAATAAACCTTTGAAATTTCCAACTTTATTCTGTTAATCAGAAGCAGAATATTGTGCATACAAATAGGTTAAAGGAGACACCTGTATGCCTTGATACCTTGATATCTCTTTAGGAAGATATGTTAATGTTCAAATGATGGTGTTTTAGAAATATGATAAAGCCTTTCTTACCTGATACATGGGTCACAAAATTGAACTGAGTAAAATTACAGATATGGCATATTGAGGCTGAAAAAATAGCTAGACATGTAGCAAGCCTGAATGATCTTCAAGGATCCACTCATTGTCTTTTTTGAAATTTGGTAATTCTCACAATGGTTGTCAGCATTACCTTCTGGTGTTGGCATGGCTAGCTTGGATACCCATGGGAAGATAACTGCATTCTGTGCTGGGTTCCAGGATGGCAGCAGCTATTCTAGAAATCTGCTCATCTTGTGCATAATCTGGAGAGGCATGAATACCCCTCTTCCATCTTGCGAGTTCTCTGTTGGTGAAAGCGAATTCCAATTATCCAATTATATCACATTGTTTTATATATAATACACATATACATATACATATATATTATGGATTTTGCCAAATAATGTCAGAAACAGATAAGAGAATCCTTGAAGAACACCGACCTGTAACTTTGGCATTCTTTACCATTTTCTTCTCAGAATGGAACCGTTCAGTGTGAAACTCTGGCCTGTCCCCCTCCCGACTGCCCTGCTAGGTCGGCTGCTGCATACGTGGACGGCAAGTGCTGTAAGGAGTGCAAATGTGAGCATAACTTTTATGACAAATTTTTTCTGGCAGAAGAAAGCTTTATATCAATAAATATTCACCCACAATTGACTTCTCTGGGCAGACTAAATTGCTTCTAAAAATGCTGGGAAAAGATAGACTACCTTCTCTATTTGGATGGATCAGTTATTTGTCATTTAACAATGTTATGCCTATATTTTTGCCAGAGATTCTTTTTAGAGAACTCTATTCTGTATGGTGACAGCAGTGCGAAGACAGGCTAGTAACTCAGTATGAGATCGGAGCAATAGTACAAGGGCAGGGCACTTACCTCGCCTGCCCGTGGTTCACCCTGATGCGGTCAGCCTGATCCCTGGTACCTTAGATTTTCTCCCGAGAGCCAGGAGTGACTTCAGGATTAAGTAAGATCTGAGCAACACCAGGTGTGGTGGTTCAAAAACAAACAAACAAACAAACAAACAAACAAAACAGAGTAAAGGGTTAATCTCATTAGATCATGAATGGCCCCATTTGTCTGAACCACAGATCTCTACCTTATTTTAGGATCATTGAGTACAGAAACAAACTGGCAGGCTACCGAATGTAACCTGCCCACATGGCAGAGTCTGGCAACCTCCCCGTGGTGTACCCAATATGCCAAATACCAGTAACAATGATGGGTCTCATTCTCCTAACTCTGAAAGAGCCTTGAATATGGCACTTTTTAAAAAATCTCAGGGATAGGATGAAGGAGAAGTTACTGGGGCCTGCTCGAGGCAATCGATGAATAACAGGATGATCGTGATCGTGATTGTGATCGAGTATAGAAACAGTTGTGATCTCAATTAAAAAAAATTGATACCACTAATGAGGAAGCTCTTCTGGGTTCTAGAAGCAATGGTACACATTTTGCTTTTGATGTTAAGGAAATGTATTTTGAGAATATAACTATCTTTTTTTTTTTTTTTTACTTTTTTGGGGCCACACCCAGTGGTGGGGTTACTCCTGGCTCTGGGCTCACTAATTACTCCTGGTGGTGTTGAGTGAGGGGTGGGGGGACCGTATGGGATGCCGAGGATCGAACCCACATTGACCACATTCAAGGCGCACGCTCTACCTACTGTACTATTGCCCTGGTACCAGAAAACATAACTATCTTGAGGCCAGAGAAATAGAACAGGCCCTTGCCTTTCATTCCACAAATCCCAGCTGGAATCCCTAGTGCCACATATAGTCCCAGAGCACTGCTCCTGAGTCAACCATTGTCCCTGTGATCATCTGTGTGAGCCCCCCCAAAACAAACAAGCACACCCCCCCCACACACACACACACAAACAAAGAATATGTAAAACCCAAAGAAAGACAACTGGGTTTTATATCATTTTTCCAACGACAAAGAACATTTTATCTAGGCTCACCAATGCACAACAAGTGCCCTAATGCTAAACTATATCCCAAGCCCTGTGCTACTTGCATTGCATCTTGTTTTATTTCAGTACGTGGCTTCCTCGGTGGTGCTCGGTGGGCTACAGCTTGCAGTGCTCTGGGGACCAGGTAGTGCTGAGGATAGAAACTTGGACTCCTGTCTACCTTTTAAGCCATTTTCCCCAAACATTTCTCAACTTACACATTTAAAGAATGCCCTTAAATCATTAAATGGAACATTTAAAATGTAGCTATTTTTGTACAAAGACTTGGTAGCATACTTGAAAAATCCTATGTGTAGACTATCCAGGGCTACTTAAGTATAATAAAACACACACAAAAGCAGGGGAGAGGAAGGTAAGATGAGGAGAGAAAGAGGTATGGTCATTTCTCTAAGGATGTCCATGTTTACCTGTTGTTTTGCCAGTGTCCTGTGTTACTCTTGCTCAGACACAGTGTAATGTGTTACTACTGGATGTGGGTGTGACAAATTATTAGAGTAAAAAGCACGAAGTTTCTTTGGTTGATTGACTGAATTCTCTTAGAATCACATTTAAATATAGTTTTCTTAGACTTTACGTGGAAGCTAAACCATTTCATGTAAATATTCAAGTAGATTTGGCTGAAGCGGCAATGAGATTGCTCTCACATATTTCATTGGCTAATTTCTTGGAGGAACAATCTGAGGCTTTTTTTGAATTTTCACTAATAATTCAAAACTTTTGGTGATGTTCTATTATTTTCTTCGTAGATGTTGGAGGTGGAAGAAAGTGTCCTCATAGAGCTTTATACATAAACTAAGACAATAGCAGAAATCATACTTTTCCCTTTAACTGATATTTTCCTTCTTTTCAACAATCCTCATTTTCCCCTGTGAACAAGATTTGCCTTGAGTGATGCTGATTTTCTTAGAGATGGTTGATTGAATTCATGACTGATCATGATAGATCTATTTAAAGATGTGGAATTTGATTTCTAATTTTACCATTTGTCTGGTACCAATAGTAAGGTACTTACTAATTCAACTTTCACTTAAAATATTCCCAACAAACATAAAGTTAGACTTGATAAAATGATAAAATATTTTGATACTCATTAATGCAAAGTGCTCTGGGTAGAATTTTATTGTAATGATTGAGAATTGACTGTCTCACTTATAAAGTGGAAATGCTATAAACAAGTAATCAGTGAGAGGGAACTGCATGTTTCTAGAAAAATGACAAAATCATATTTTTTGGCTTCAAAGATAGATACAATTTTTTTTTCTGGTTTTAGTGACAGAGTATAATGAAATATAGGGAATTTGTGCCTATGCTTGTTTGTACTTTGAATTTTAAGACTTTTAGTTCTGATGAAATCCATATTTCACAAGAGCTAATAAGATATTTTTATTAATACCCATAGAATTTATTTTTTAAGCATTTAGTCAGTTTAGTCTAAGTCTACTCATAGTACAATTTAAAAAGCAGTGACTAAAAAGTATTTTTCAGAAAATTTACTTCTAAAAATTTTTGCAAAAATTTTTATAAAGCAAGTATCACTTAAATTAAATTTGATAATCATTAGTTGATTTGCTTAGATGGCTCAGATTTCTGTATATACTGAATGTGAGAAAAGCCAATAGCTAAAGCCTATCTATTCAGTGTCTTTTTATGTCTTTTTATATGTGTGTACAGGTGCATGAATTTATCTCATTGGTGCATGCATTTATCTCACTGATACATACAAAGGGGGAAAATGTTTTATTTTTAAATGTTTATTTTCTCAGTACTTTTGATATTATAATTTACAAAGCCTTGCTTCAGTGGACTATAAACTATGTTCTAGGCATTTTTAAATTTAAAACACAGCACAGACTTCCTCTTATACACTTCACTCATTTTTTCTTTGAGACTCTGATTTTTTTTTTTTTTTTTTGCTTTTTGGGTCACACCCGGCGATGCTCAGGGGTTACTCCTGGCTCATGCACTCAGGAATCACTCCTGGCAGTACTCGGGGGATCATATGGGATGCTGGGAATCGAACCTGTGTCGGCCATGTTGGCTGCGTGCAAGGCAAACGCCTTACCCGCTGTGCTATTGCTCCAGCCCCGAGACTCTGATTTTTTTAATGACATACAATTCACAACGGGCTGAAGTGATAGCACAGCGGGTAGGGCTTTTGCCTTGCACGTGGCCAAGCCGGCTGATCCAGGTTCAATTCTTCTGCCCCTCTCGGAGAGCCCGGCAAGCTACCGAGAGTATCTCGCCTGCACAGCAAAGCCTGGCAAGCTCCCCGTGAGTTACTCAATATGCTAAACACAGTAACAAATGTCACAGAGGAGATGTTACTGGGACCGCTCGAGCAAATCGATGAACAATGGGAGAACAGTGACAGTGACAGTGACAACTCACAAAATATATTTTTGGTGAGAACAGTGTTTGTTTCTAAAGTCCTTAGACCACCAAGCATGACCTTGATGCTAAATGTTTTTCTGCCAAGATTGATGCAGCATACGAGTACCAGTTTCTTTTGGTGTCTTTTATTTAATGCTTCATCAGAGCTGTTTGCACAACCATGCATCAGCCCTGTTTTGCTGTTTTATTCCTCCCTGTAACTCCAGCGCTCACCTTTTATCCAGTACAAATACTGATGAACAGTAAGGGGTGGCTGTTTGGGACAGAAGTAAAAAAAAAGCCAAGCCTAAGGCTTTCTTCAAAATTAAATTTACGCATGTGAAGTATTTGGCGGAGAGACCTTCACTTTTTTGTTCCCTATAAAAATACGCTAGTGGGGCTGAATTGAGGATAAAATATCAAAAGGCAGGAATGCCAGCTTCTGATTACCAGGGTACAAATAACCCCAGGTTCTGTCACTCCCAGAGATTAGAAGGCAGTGCTTTGTTCCTTATTTTATCTTTACAACAACTTAAAATTATCGCCTGCCCACATCCTATAGGAGGATTATGTGACTTGCTCAAAAACACACATAGAATTTGATGTCCCAGAGAAGTTCCATCTGAGAGTGCTGTGCCTTCCCATCCTACTCCTACTCAAATAAACAAATAAATAAACCTACTGTCATTGATCGGGAGTGATCCAGTCTTCATCTATCTACTCAACCTATGGCTTTCATTTTTTATTTCATTTCATCATCCTGTTAATCGTCGATTGCCTCGAGAGGCCCCAGTAACGTCTCTTTCATCCTAGCCCTGAGATTATATTCACGGCTCTTTAGGAGAATGAGACCCATCATTGTTACTGGTATTTGGCATATTTGGTACGCCACGGGGAGTTTGCCAGACTCTGCCCTGTGGGCAGGCTACATTTGATAGCCTGCAAGTATGTCCAAAGTAGGAATGAGATAATAAGATGTCATAAAAAAAAAAAGTTCTGATAAGATGTCGCGCGGCCGCGGATCTGGATTTTATAGTCTCTGAGTCTTGGCCGCTGATGGGATTACACGGCGCCAGGGGGCCAGGTGGTGGGTGTGACCCCCGCCTGCTGGAATTTGGAGGATCTGGATGGAAGATGCTCGACTCCAAACCCAGTAGGCTTGGAGGTCTTGGCCCCGGAACCCGCGTGGCTTTGTCCCTCTGCCAGTACCTTCATGTGTGCGGAGAGTGGTCTCAG